ACAATTACACCCTAGCCGAGGTTTAAAACTAAACACTGAATATTTTTTGGAGAGTAAGTTGACAGTACATACATCAATTTTAGATACGGACAACCCAGCAATCCCACCGCTGGGGAAGGTATGTTCGGCATGCATTGTCTGAAATGAAGAAAAACTAAAAAAGACCTGTTAAGGCCATCAATAAAGAGTTCACTTATAATTCATAAATTTAAATATTAATTAAAATTATAAGTAAAATTATGTTTCTTTTCTTATTGTGGAATACAATGCAGCCATTGAAAAGAATGAAGTACATCTACTCAAATGCACTGATGTGGAAAGATGTCCAAGACTTGTTAAGTGAAAGGAATAATCAGTAGAATAGAAGTAGTATTTAGGTTAAAAAAAAAGGGAGGGGACAAAATTAAATTAAAACATATGTATATATAGTTATAACCATAATGCATCCACTTAATCTGTCTATATACACATATAGCAAAAGGTCTAGAAAGATCCATTCTGACCTGTTACTCAATACACAGTTGAATGAATGAACATTAACATGATAATCTGAGAGGGAAGAGGACTAGAGGGCATGCAGAAGCACCAAAGCCTTCCACTCCATCAATTTTAGTATCATTTGAAGTTTTTACAATGAATCTTTGTGTATCAGCTGAGTAGTTAGAAATTAGCTAATTTTTAAAGCCAAACAGTAAGTAAATAAGTAAAGGCTGGAACTCTGCTAGACAAATTCTATATACACATTGATTAAAACCATACAGTAGTTAGCCAGGCAAAGAATCAGAAGGAGAATCCAAGACACAAAAACTAGCAAGCACAGGGGGAGGGTATATAGCTCAATGGCAGAGCTCGTGCTTAGCATGCACCAGGTCCTGGGTTTAATCCCCAGTACCGCCATTAATTAACAAACAAACAGACAAACCTGATTACTTCCCCCCACCAAAACAAAACAAAACAAACAAAAACCAGCAAGCACAAAGGTAGTGTATGAGTTAAGACACCAGGATTACTGTTTTTTTTTTCCTAGTCTCTATCAAATTTTTTAGCATTTTTATTTGAATAATGGGGAACTGCACTTATAATAGTAATGTGCTGCGAGTTATACAGACCCTACATTCCTTTTATTTAACCTACTGGGCAAGTCATCTAACCTGTCTTCAGTACCCCTTCTTCCCCCTTACCCCCCAAAAAAGATGATGGATTAAAAAAAACAGCCCTTTATAAACTGTATTGAGCTGCAGAAATGCAACTGTGGGTACTAATTTTACTAGGTTGACCTCTTCAGATACCATAATTTGGGGGCTCAGGACCCCAGATATTTGTTTCTACGTCTAGTGTTCCTCAACAGAAAATTGCTGGTCCTTCAAACTCCAGCTTAACACTATATGTCCCCTAAAAAATCCTCCCAATTCACATGTGTACACCCACCTACCAGAAGGAGGGCATATCACACTTCAGTCAGTCCACATACAACTTATGACAGGGTTACATCAGGATAAATCCATCATAAGCTGAAAATACTGTAAGTCAAAACTGCATTAAATACACCTAACAGACTGAACATCATAGCTTAGCATCACCTACCTTAAACACACTCAGTATATTTATTTTAGCCTACAGTTGGGCAAAAATCATCTAACACAAAACTTTTAAAAATTCTATTTTATAATGAAGTGTTGACTATCCCATCTAATTTACTGAATACTGTACCGAAAGTGAAGAACAGAATGGTTGCACGGGTACAGAATGCTTGTACATGTATCAGTTCAGTACCCTCGTGATCACATGGCTGACTGGGAGCCCCAGCTTGCTGCCCAGCATCATGAGGGAGTACCATACTGCATATCGCTAGACTAGGAAAAGATCAAAATTTAAAACTGGAAGAAAGGTTTCAGTTGAATGAGAATTGCTTTTGCCATCATCCTTGAAGTCGAAAAATCGTAAAATTGTAGGTCAAGCCATGCTAAGTGGGGGAACTGTCTGTATGTATTCAGGCCCTGTACTAGGCTTTGGGGATCCAAGGGAGACCTCACGGAGGTTACAGTCCGGTAGGGGAGCGAGACATCACTTATATAATCACACAAATAAATAGAAAAACCCCAACTGATATAGGGAAAGTACACGCCCTAACCCTGTAATCCTCATTCTAACGAGACTACATTAAAATGAAAATAGCAAACACTGATTGGGCATTTACTATGTGCCACACACTGTAAAGTGCTTCCATGTAACTCCTAACTTAATACAGCCATCTCATGACAGTTTCTATTATTGTTCCCATTTTACAGAGAGACAGCAGAGAACTGAATAGGTTATGGAACTACGTCGCAGACAGTACGGCGTGGAGCTACCTCAGTCTGCAAAATGAAATAAAATATGTAAAGTGCTTAGTAGACAGTAAGTGTTCAATCAGTGTTGGCTGTTACTTTTATGACATGACTACTACTTATTATGGTCCTCTAGGGTACAGAGTCTGTATGATTCATCTGTGTCTCCATCACTCAGGCCTATGTGCAGCGCCAGTCTACAGAAGACGGAGGATCTGAGAATATAACTCTTTCCCCAGTCACTCAGCTAATAAATGCTGGAGCCAAATATAAACCTGCGAAAAAAAAAAAAGCTTGTAAAGAGCCTGGCCCATCGTAAGCACTCATTAAGTGTTAGCTGGTAGCATGAACTATATTTTTTTGAGGTCCTATAGGGCAGAGAGAGTGTCCGATGAACTCCCGTGCCCCCAGGCCCAGGGAGATGCCCGGAACAGAGCAAGTGCTCAGTACACGTTTGCTGAAGGAGCGGGAGCCGACGGGGGCCCCTCACCTGCAGCAGCGGCAGGAGCAGCTGGTTGAGCCTCCGCCGCTCCATGAGGCTGACGGCGCCCTCGCCCGTGCGGCCCATCTCGTTCAGCAGCACCAGCACCGCGATCTTATACGGCGTCACCCAGTCCTTGATACCGAACACGTTGGCGTGCACCACCCCATTGGTCATCATGGGGTTGAAGTAGAGGCTCTCGTGGACGCTGGCCATGGCTCCCCCTGACTAAATCCAGGACTCCAGTTGCACACGGCGGGCGGGTTCCCCCGAGGGGCACGCCGCAACGCGCTCTACGCCTCCTCCCGCCCTCACCGTATCCCAGGAAACCAGCTTCCTCGCGCTCGCGCTCGCGGCACACCATCGGCCAATCAGAGCAACCAGACCAAAGCACATGGGAGGGCTACAGCCAATCAAAATGTCCAGTGGTACAGTGCCGGGTGAGGCAAAGGCAGTGCACCTTAAGACTGAGTCCCTACAGAAACTCTTGCGGAAGGAGAGCACGTTCCGGCTCGACGTGGCCTGGCACCGAGTGAAAGGGAGTCGACGCTTGCAGACAAGGCCTGAAGGGCCAGGTTGGCTGCTTCATTTGTTCGTTTAATTTGAAAATAATTAAAATTGAATTTTAAAATGATTGCGTTTAAAAGCAACGAAATTAAACTGACACTTTTAAATTTTGTTTTTAATTCTTTATGCTAACTTTTAAACTCAAACTTTGGAAGTTTCGTTCAGTTGTTTTTTTAATGCGTGAATAAACTTTTTTTCCTCAGTATTTCACAATGCCATTTGTAGACAGCCAGTCCAGGTTGCAAGTAGCAATGTATTCTTAGGTGTAATAGAAGATAATATCACCTTTGTGTGGTGAATCTCTGTTTCCTATCCAATATTACATTCTGGCATTCATGGCCCTCAAAATCAATTCCTAGACAGTGTTTTTAATCTGATTTTTCACAACTCGCCTTCTATTCTTCTGTACCTTTCCCAAGACTTTTACTTTTCAACAGCCAGAATTACTACCAATAATGATTTGCTTTCTGTACTCATCTTGAAACACATGTCCCTGGAAAGTAAAACTGCATGCTGTTCAACTTTGGGTATATTCACGTACACACTGTGCCTAATGCCTGGTTTTTGTTGTCTCAGTCGCTATATGGTTAATGAATAATGAATGAATATGTGGTTTTAGTTCACAAAAACAAAAAAGGAAGCAGGCACATATGGGGTAAATAACTGGGCCAGTAAAGAAGTCATTGATAGCTTGGAATTCAAGACCTAACTTCCATATTTTGAGAACTCTACATTTTAGACATACAATTACATGTATTTTAGACATACATCTCTGACATTTTACCATATACAATTCTTATGTAACTGTCTTTTATTTGTAAAAGGGGAGACTGGCTGTTTGCAAGAAATTGAATACTTAAATAACTTATTTCTTTCCCTCAGTTTATTTTTGTATCCCCTCCCCTTTTGTTTTAATATAAAAGCATATTTACCATCTCACAGCTCTGGTCCATTGAGTTCTGTTTCCATCTTGAGACCCTGGTTCTTGCAGCTCTTTCAATGATAAGCTTCCCTAGAAGATAATCCCGTAACCACAGAAAATTTACAAACGTTTGTTGGTCTGGTTTGGGGTTTTTGTTTTGTTTTATTTGATTTTTTGCTTTAGCTTGATTGAGAAGGGTTTTTGGCTCTTGCAGTTAAAGTCATTTTTATTAATATATAATTGAAAATATTGAAGGCAGTTCATCCTGCCAGAACTGTTTAGTCCCCAGAAGGACCTTCAGGCTCCTTGATTTGTTCCTGTGTGAGCCTTTTTCTCATCCTATGTGTTATTCAGAGACTGTCTGCCTTCTTTCTCAGTCACAAAGTATTCTCCTGCCAGTCAGAGAAAACAGGATTCAGAGTCATGATTGACGAAATGAGAAGAAAATTGGCCTGGGAATCAGAGCGCCCAAGTTCTAGTCTTGGCCTTGAAATTAATTAGCTCTGTGATTCAGGGATTCTTTTTCCCTGGAACTTGAGCCAGTCACGTTAACAATGAAGAGTATGGATTGGATGATGTGTTAAGTCCTCTGCAGTGCTAAAATTCTATGGCTTGTTACTCTCCATTTTTATTTTAAAATCTTACTGTGACAAAAGAAACACACAACATAAAATTTACTATTTTGACCATGTGAAGTGTACAATTCGGAGACATTAAGTACATTCACAATGATATGCAACCTTCACTACTCTCTGGTACCAGAACTTTTTCATCCCCCCAAAAAGAAAACCCATACACATTAGTAATAACTCCCCATTCATCATATGATGATAATACACAGCATTAATAGGGTTTGGAGAAAGCTGGCAGTTTCACATACTACTGGGAGGAATGAAAGTTGGCATAGCTCTTAGAAGGGTCCAGGCAGGAAATAGAAGCGTCTCTAAATGTTTCAGACAAAAGGAAAATCATACAGAAAATTGGCTCCACAGGTGATAGAAGATCTGAGAAGCCATATGGGATAGAGATTAGCAGTAACAAGAAGATGCCACCACTCCCAAAACAGAAGGGACAAAGGAAAGGGATGGTTACCAGAGCCCAGAAGGTGAGACCACTGAGTGGGAGTCAGGACTGCGGGTCAGTGCAGCCACTGCAGGAGGATGCTGCCTGAGAAGGAGCGAGGGTAAGAAATGCCATGGCTTCTCCGTTTCTCCCACCCTCCCATCTCCTTCCAGAGTCTCCTATTAACTCAACCCAGCCAGTTGACTCAGGAGCTGGGAAAGGAAGCCTGCAAGCATTCCAGAATATTTTCATCACCCCAAAAAGAAACCCCATACTCTCTAGCAGTCACTCCTCTTCCTGCTTTCCTCTAGCCCCTGGCAACTACTAATCTACTTTCTCACTGTATGGATTTACTTCTCCTGGACATTGCATATCAGTGGAATCATACAATATGTGGTCTTTTGTGTTCATTTAGCATAAAGTTTCTGAGGTTCATCCATGTTGTATCATGTATCAGTACTTCATTCCTTTTCATGTCTAAATACTATTCCATTGTATGGACAGGCTATATTTTGTCAATAGGTGTCTGGGTTATTTCCACCTTTTGGCTGCTCTGAATCAAGGTACTGTGAACATTCGTCTTTGTGTGAACGTATGCTTTCAGTTTTCTTAGGTATATACCTAGGAATGGAATTTGTGGGATATGGTGACTCTACATTTAACTCTGTGAGGAACTGCCAAACTCTTTTCCACAATGGCTACATCATTCCACATTCTCACCAGCAATGAATGAGGGTGGCCAATTTTAATGAGAATTGGGACCTCAGCTTGCTAATTAATGATGAATGATGATTAGCAATGTCATGATTATGAAAGAACTGAATAATCATCAAAGATGTTTAAGTTGTTCTGAGTAATGGATGACTATATCCATGATTTCATGTATCTGTGAACACCATATTCCCCAAGGAGAACTGTTCCAGGTAGAACCAGTTTCCCCGTTGCTCATTCGAGAGTAGCTCATCAGCAGTTAAGTGCCGGCACGCCTTCTGCAGCTCCCAAGACAGATGGAAAAGCCGGCAGTGTCTCGGAATGCAGGCATTACGTGCTGATCAGTTACAAAACTTCTGAAAATGACAAACCCTAACCATAGCTGTTGTGCATTTCTAAGACATCATGTTAGAGGAAATAGATAATTGCTCTGATTGCTCTGAACAAGGAAAATATATTGTGTGAACCAGGTCTCCCATGTGCATGCATAAACACTTTCTTTTGATAATTCAAGAAAATCTGGCTGAGAGGGAAGAAAATCTCTCCTATTAAATAAAATGAGCCCCAGCTTTGAGAGAGTCATGCAGAGTCTCAGGGCTCTCAATTCAGAAAGTTCTGGGTTATTAACTGAGCTGCTGGGGAAACTTGATCACTAGCCTGACAAGCATCACTAAGCATTTCCAGACCCAAGGTAACATTCCAGTTTCTCAAAGCTCATGAACTGAATTGACCTTGCTCCCTGGGGAAAGAAACTCTCCTTGTTTTCTCTGGACCTCCTATTTCATCCAAAGTGGACATCACCATCTGCACCTGGAGGGATCAATGAACAAATTAATTAACTGAGGTTGAGTTTACATTAGTATCGTTAACTCTCAACACTTGTTTGCTTGAACCTACTTCCCATATCTCTTGGTGATGATATACATTACATAATTTACACAAGTATATGAGTACATTTTACACTCACAGTTTTCATTTCTTTGCAGACACCCTGACTCATTCTCAGTACTCAACTTAATGGCAGTTTCCAGTAGAAGTGTCTGCTTTCGATAATAGAAGCAGAAACTTCATTGACTCATTGCTTTTCTTTCTTTGCAGGATGATTAATTCCTCAGTTTATAAAAGTTTTTGTGCATTTCAGTTTGCAAGAGTTTCTGGCTCTGTAATGTTTGATGATCATCTAATGCCAAATAGTGGCAATGCATAGCTCTCTACCGTAGCAATAATGCTGCACGACAACTACAAAACTTTGAAGCTGTAACAAGGAGCATGTTTGCTTGCACATCTGGGGTGGTAAGCTGGGGAGCCCTGCTAATCTCGCTGGGGCTCAATCACAAATGGGAGGCATGGCTGACTGGATGATCTGGAGTGAATGTGACTGGGAACAATGGGAGTGGCTTTCTCTGTGTGTCTCTCCTCCTCTCGCAGGCTACCCTGGAGAAATGTTCTCACAGAGGAGCCAGAGGTGCAAGAGAGAAAATGGAAACAATTATGTCCTGGACTTCTAAACTCAGTGGTGGCTCACAGCAGTACTTCTTTCACAGTTTATTAGCTAAAGCAGAAGGCCAGCCCAGATCCAAGTGTCAGGAAATAGATTGCCTCTTTGGCAAGAGGAGCTGCAAAGTCACACAGCATCAAGTAGGGATAGAGGGAAAAGTAAAGAACTGGGGCCAGAAGTGCAATCTACTAGAGGTTTTTCCTTCTCATCCCCTTAAACCTCAGCTTATTTAGGCAAAGGGAGAATTGGGTCCAAGGGGAATAGCTATGACTGATTTTTTTGTGTTTAATCTCACCGAACAATTATATAAATAGACGCAGGGGCTGTCTTGGTTTGCTCAGGCTGCCATGACAAAATACCACAGACTGGCTGGCTTCCTCAACAGGAGTTTGTTTGCCCACAGTTCTGAAGCCTGGAAAGTTCAGGATTGAGGTGCAGGCCAATTCAGTTTCTGGTGCTAGCTCTCTTCTTGGCTTGTAGATGGCCACCTTTCACCATATCCTCATAACGGTAGGAAGAGGGGGCTCTCTGGTGTCTCTTCTTGCAAGGACTTTTGTCTCATCATGAGGGGCCCACCGTCCTGACCTCATCTAAACCAATTGCCTTCCAAAGGCCCATCTCCATATACCATCACTTTGGGGTTTTAACATGTGAATTTGAGGGGGACACAATTTAGTTCAGAACATGATCTAAATTTAATCATTTTAAATTTAGTATCTTCATTCCTGTTTTAATTCTTTCCCCAAAATGTCTCTCTCACTTCAGCTGTGAATAAAACTTCGTAACATTGGGAATCAAAGTCAGAACTTAACTTTGGACTCTCTGAGATTGATCAGAACATCATGGAATTTCTTACTTAGTCTTTAAGAACATGTCTATTTCTACTAGAGTTCAGGATAAAATATATCCTTGAGCTAAAGTTTCACTTGCTCTGAAGCTTGGGGGAAGGATTAAGCAGTCCTTGTCAAGCCAGGCTTATTGGAAAATTCAAAGTGATTTCATGCCTCCCAGCCAAGGCCCTGGAGGTCATCCTTCCCAGAAGCTTCTGGAACTTCCGAGCATTATTCATTCAATCTTAAAAACTGCATGATTCTTTCATTCTCTATTTTCAAGCTCTTAAAGGCCTTGAACCATAAAAGCAATTAAGTTGCCAGAGAACTTCTCTAATACCCTGTTCATTTTAAGATCGGTGGATAGGTTCAATCCCCAGTACCTCCATTAAAAAAATAAGTAAATAAACCTCTTTACCTCCCCCTCAAAAAAAAAAAAAGATAAGTTCTGTGGACAGGTACTTTATTCATTTTGTGTGTATGACATAAAAAAAGGAAACTTCTTCAGGATCTCAATTTGTGTCAATTAATGAATTAAAGAATGGACATCTTTAAGAAGAGAGAAAAGTTTCAGAAGAGAAACCCACTATCCTAGAGAAAAGATGCAATTAAGTTGCTCACAGGGTGTATTAAAGATATATGGATATATTTATGATGTGTTTCTGGCCTGGCCACCCACCCTCCACACCTGGAGAGGAGTAGCCTTTGGAACGGGAATTCAAGAAAGCTGCTGCATTGACACAACACTGTAAACTGCCTGTACTTCAATTTTAAAAAGAAAGAAAGCAAACTGCTGTTCAGCCTAGTCAATATCTCATGCCAAAAGCATTACTGATAAATATTCAGTAAGCAAAAGAAATTTTAGAATTCTTCTAAAACCATTATTAATATCACTGTATGAAGAATTTATGAAGTAAAAACTAGACTTGGGAACTACAACACCAAAATTCATTCCATTTATCAACTGCTTAATGTTTAAAGATGTTTCTGACCAGCCCTGACAAAACTTGTATATGCCAGAGGAAATGTATAGGAGGGTAACACAGAAATAAGAGTGGCTGTCAGTTCTTTTATTCACCAAATATTTTGTTATCACCTAGTACGTGCTAGGCACTTAGCTGGACACTGGTAAAATAATGGTGAATGAGGCAAATTCAACTCAAACCCTCACTGAAGTCATAGTCTAGTTCAGACACAGACAAGCCATAAACAGGGGCAACCACACCCACTAGGATATCTGTAATCAAAAAGAAGACAATAACAAATGTTGGCAAGGATGTGGAGAAATTGAAACACCCACACATTACTGATGGGAATGGAAACGTTTGACAGTTCCTCAAAAAGCTAAACATAGAATTGCCATATAGCACAGAAATTCCACTCCCAGGTATAAACCCTAGAGAATATAAATATATATCCAGGCAAAACTTGTACACAGATGTTCGCAGCGGCAGCATTCACAATTGTCAAAATATAGATGCAACCCAAATGTCCATCAACTGATGAATGGATGAATAAAATGTGGTATATCCATATAATGGAATATTTTTCATCCATGAAAAGGAAAAAAGCACTGATACGTGTTACAACACATATGAACCTTGAAAACATTATGCTCAGTGAGAGAAACCAACACAAAAGACCACATACTGTATGAGTCCATGTATATGAAATGTCCAGAATAGGCAAATCCACAGAGATGAAAGCAGTGGTGTGGGGGGGTGCGGAGAAAAGGGAGTACTGCTTAACGGGTATTAGGTCTCCTTTTGGGGCAATGAAAATGCTTTAGAAGTTAATTAGAGGGGATGGTCACACAGCATTGTGAATGTGCTAAATGCCACTGAATTGTACATTTTAAAATGGTGAATTTTGTTATGTGTTATTTTACCTCAATTTTTAAAAATTAATTGAGTTATTTCATTTTACAGTCATTATGACTGCATATCTGTATATTTATACATATATAGTGTTAATTAACTGCAAATTACCCAGGCTGGGTTAAGACGCACATGAAAAATATGTCTCTTTAGTTCCCTGTTGCACGTACAAGAAAGAGCCATGAGGTCAATTTCCACTTTTTAT